CGTGGAACTGAGATTGGGGACAGTAGTGAGCGTGGTGCTGAGGTGGCGAGGTGCTGATGCTGCTCTCAGTGCACGGCACTGCACTGCCAAACTTCTCTTTAGGCTGATTGATCATCTTAAGTAGGGAAAAGGACTGCGAAAGTCGGCGCATTCGGGTACCCTTGCCTTGATCGTTTACGGCTAGGTTCACTGTGGTGCTTTTGCTGTGCCCTGACAGCTTCGGGTTCTTCCGATTACTCAGAATGTTATTCGGTGGTCGATTTGCTGTTTTTGGTTTGACGTTCAGCTAAAAAGCAAAGTTTAATTGCACACCATTAGATTGGCGCCAAGTTGTCACAGCACTTACCGAGTTTAATTTGAACACACTCGTTCCATAGGGGTCAAAGTTTCGGTTTGTGACGTTAGCTGTCAGCTCGGTGAGACACTGAAAGGAGGCCCGGTGCTGCAGCGAGTTGGCAGGCAGCAACGAGATTGAAGTGGCATTCAATTTAGGCATCGCCTTCCTTCCCAAGTGTATATCAACCGCTTCCTCGTCAACCTCTTCAGCGGCGTCATTCTCTAATGAGTCCTCCTCTTCACCGTCATTTGCCGCTTCACTTGAAGTGGATTGTCGAGCACTAGTGCAGCATGCCTCACAGGCAGGTGCTGCCGATGCTGCTGCTGCTGACTGCTGACTGTAGTGTATCAGCGGAGACGGACGACTCGGCAGCAGGCCTACAGGCCCAGCGGCTGCCTGCGGAGTGTCGGCAACGTGCCCCAGTGCCGATGACCCGCCGCCGACGGCTGCCGCTGCCTGCATCGGCCCACCCGCCTCTCCCATGATGCCGATCCACCCGTTGAGCAGCTCATCCGACATGAGAATGTTGACGAGAGCGTACTCCATCAGCGAGGCAAAAACAAAGACGGTGCAGCTGGACATGAAGATGTCAATTGCCTTGATGTACGACACTGGCGGAAGTGACTTCTGCGATTGGGCGTGCTGAGTGGAAAGAGTGAGCAGTGAGGTGACGCACAGTGTGACACGTGCCGGCACCGCTTCAGGCTTGATCCAAAAGGAAATCCAGCTCATGATGACGATAAGGCAGGTGGGAATGTACGTGTGGAATATGTAGTAACCTAGGTTTTAATGAGAAAAATTTCTTAAAAATAGAGTTCATTGAAATTCAATAACTCTGGTCACTGCATTTATTTATTCCATTTATCATAACACACTTTTTTACAAAAAATGAAAAATATGTTTTTAAACTGAAAAGTAATGTGATTATGGGAAAAAACTCTGGACTTTTTTCTGACCACTGCTCACTTAATTAATCAAGTGTGATTTGAACAAAAAAATGTTTATAACAGAGTAATATTCAAGTTACACATGTGCTCCTAAATGCTTCATTGATGGTTCTCTGTTTCCGGCTGCAAAATGGTCGTTTTCTATTTTTTGCATCGCTTTATTATGCTTTTGTGTTTGAGCAGAATAAACAGTAAAATTTTAACATTATGATTTATTGCCAATATTTATTTTTCTAAAAAACTGTTTTTCAATTTTGCAAATGAACATTGACAAATGTTTGTTTTGATCAAATTTTCAGTGTATTCCTTACACTTCCAGGAGCTTACAACATTTTCAAAAGTTATTTTTATTTTAAAACATTGCCACTTTTTGTTTGTATATTCTATTTTTTTGCACACCCTTTTTTAAAACAACCTAAAACTTTAACGTTTCACTAAGCACAACATAAAATAAATGTTTTTCCATTTTATTTGTTTTCCATTCCTTATGCATTAAGAATAACGTTTGACAAATGTCAATAAAAGCAAAAATTTTAAAATGTTGCACATTTGTGAACAGTAAACTATTGTGTTTAAATTTAAATAATTAAATAAAATTAGTTAATCTGACTCTACCATGGTTTTTGTTAAAACGTGTAAAGTTTTTATATTTTTCCAGTTTTTATATAAAAATATTAACGTTTTTTCAAACAATTGACTAATAAATTTCCTATTGTATTATGTTTTTTCACACATTTTGTGTTTAATTAAATATTCTGTTTATTATGTAAGATGTTGCTATCATGTTGCTAGGATTTCAATACACAAAATTCTTATAGCTTTTTCTTAAACGGTTATTTACAAATTACCAAATCATTAGCCGGAAACGAGCAAAACTATTAATTCACTTTTTCGACTAAGATATATTGATGGTAATTATCTTTGCATTTACATCTAAAGAAGTGCCCTAAAAATATGACAGTACAGGTCAAAAGTGTTAGCACTTAACTTTTAGTGTTTAGTGCGTTCAATAATACTTTTGTAAAGTTATCTCAAATAACAAAATAATGTTTAAAACTAAATGTTTTTGTAGTTATAATTTTTTATTTAATAAAACTTTTAACCTGGTAAATAGTTTAAAATTAACGTTCAAAAAGTTTATCAATTTTTTCTAATCTAACTCACATTAAATATTTTTATTTTATTTTACCAAAATAATAAATATTTCAAGGCCATTGTATCAAAAGATCTTAGATTTTAGTATCTACACATATTTATGCGCCAATATTTGTTATTAATAAAGAACAATTAATGTGGAAAATGTTATTAATCGTCGATCAATTGTCTACATTTGTGAGCATTAATAAAAAGTAATGATATTCACCCAAACGTCTTTTAATGGTAAAGAGCACCTGAACGCAAGCAAAAGTTCCTAGAACAACAAACAATTGTGGTTAAGAATAGAAATTAAGAGCCAAAATTTGTGTAACAATAGAAAACGCATACCTGAAGAGTAAGTTGTGGTGCAATAATCAATCTCCTTTTTTATTAAATCGTGTTGCGGCAATTCAATATTCTTCTCTACTACTAGTGGATCAGATTCCTCCCAATCAAAAATTAAATCGTTTGTTGTATAGGAAACTAAAGAAAATAAGTGTAAATATGTGTTGGAAACAATAACATGCAAAATATACTAACGTGATTCAATTTTCATAGTGCAATTTTGAGTATCATGAGGATATGTTTGAAATTTCATTGCACATGATAGAAGAAGGCTTAACTTAACCATGTATCTATAGGGAAAGTGTTATGTTATTGTTGCAAAATATATTTGTTTTTATAAAGTAACAAAAATAACACTTACAAAATTGTATGGTCTTCATATAGCCAAATGTAGTGGTTTGGAATAGTCATCTCTTGGAATGTGACTTCCTTGGCGTTCTATTTGATAAATGCATAGTAATTATGTTTATGATTCTGTTGTTTATCTCTATGGCACTACCACTAATAACTTACCTTAAAAAACGAATCTGGCCTCCAGATTTTATCAATGAGTGTCACAGGCAACAATCGATATGGCCCCCTTGGGTCGTTGTTTGCGCTAACATTCACATTAAAAGTAATATTTTTGGGAATTATCAAGCGGTTGTCTTTCCAGCTTTGAGAAATGAAAATATCTGCAACGTAAGTCTTATAAAAATGCGGTTAAAAATTGACATTAAAAAGTTTTAACAATTTAATATACCATCGATCCCTCGTCGATAGAGTCCAGCCCAAGAACCCAAACGTGAAATCTCACAATAGTTGGCTTTCCTGTGATTTAAAAAAGAACAAGTTACGTAAGTACTGTTTTATAAGAGTCAGTAATTTTATGCAAATTGAGCAATTTTTTACTGCAAAGCGTTTTTGTTGTTGAGATAAAAATGCAAAATGAGCATTCAGCAAATTTGTTTTGTGGTTTGTGTTTGGTTTAGATGGGTTATTTGGATTATTATTATTATTATTTGTAATAATACTGCTTGACTCAAAGCCAGAGGCGACAATTTATGGTTGGGGTGGACATGTTTCCACTCATTTCTATTATANTTGTAATAATACTGCTTGACTCAAAGCCAGAGGCGACAATTTATGGTTGGGGTAGACATGTTTCCACTCATTTCTATTATATTTTTTTTTTTTGCAAAATGCTTGTAAATATCTACAACATTTTAGCAAACTTTCTCCTTATTGAAATAAAAAAGAAATTTGATGATTTTTGCTGGGTTTTGCATTTTTGTTTATATTTTATCTTTGCTTCCACTTTTATTCTAGTGAAATGCAATTTATCGGGCGAATCATTTCAAACAAACAGTCAGTGTCCGCCAGTTGAAGTTAGTCTGTCTGTTTGCATTAGTGCCTCCATTGCTTTTTTGGCTTCACTGAAACACACACACAATTTTTTCTCAACTTGGTTAGCTCATCAATGAACGTTTTAAGTTACAATTAAGCGGTATCAGGCAAAATACTAGTGCAGTTGGACCTAATAATAATGACACCGCTTCAAACAACAAAACAATTAATAACAAGCAAAAGGAAACAGTGACCAATAGAAATAATTTTTTAAACAACTGCAGAATGAGAAGCTTGTTTTGAGACAAATGCTATTGGATCTACTTACAATTTAATTAATTTACTTGATTAACAAAAAAGGGTCAAATTAGTATTTGAAACAATGGGGCTTTTTTAAGTATTACGTTGTGTTTGTAAACTGAGCAATCATATGTTAAATGTAATTTAGCTAAAGGTGAAACTGATGGTTTACCCCCATTGCCTTTTATTTGTTTTTTTATTTTTTTAACAATCAATCCTAAATATGCCATATTATTAATAAATATTAAAAAGTTAGACCACAAACTTTTTTTATAACTATTTTTAACAAACATTTTAAAAAAAATTTAGCAAAGACAGTAAGTTATAAATTGGATTTTTTACATTGTATATATACAAAACTTTATTTTTTAACTGTGACTATTTAAATACTTTGTATGTACGTTTTTTTAAAAACTTAAGTTTGAAAAAGAAAATTAAAAGTGATCAGCTCTATTTTGCATAAAAGGGGATAAAAGTCAATAAAGTTAAACAAGCAAAGGCCATCTCTTATGACTCTTGAGATCTCAATGAAATGTCTGTAGGAAGCATTTAAATGATTGATTTGGTATTTGCGTTGCATGTGATAGTAAAAAGAAACCAGTTTGCTAAAAAGATTGTAAAAGTTTCAGAAGCGTTTTGTAGATTAGTATAGAAAAAGAAAAATCATTAATCTATTTGAAGTAAGAAATGAGTAAAAAAAGTAAATTTTATATTTTGCAAGGCAATTTTTGTTGTTTTTTGATAAAAACAAGATCAAAACACCTTTTATAACGGCATTTTTGCTAATTTTATAAATAAAAGTCAAACAACTTCATAATCATACAAGAAATCTGCGGTTTTTATGTGAACTATTGTAGTTTTATTAATATAAATAAAAAGATGTAACAGATAATAATTATTAAAATTTTTTGTTTAAAGCCGGTTCTACGTGATTTTAGCTTGGAAAACTGAGAATCCTATTAATACTTGCTACAATAAAAGTCAAAGTACTATGCACAAACTAAAAAACATTAAAAGTTTAACGAACCATTTTCTTTTGGTGGCATCAGTTTATCATAACCTGAAGGCACAAAAGAATCTACGTCGATTGTTGAGGCACTTGATGAAGCACTTTTTAAATGATAAGTTTGAGAGGTTTGCCTTGATGCTGAATCGGCACTTGTTTTAATGTTTGATTTGTCTAATAAAAGTGGCTTTAACAGTTCTGGCACCTGATGAGGGTTAACATGCTCTGGGGAGGATGACAAAGATCCGGGAGACATTATTTTTAAGCTGGGATTGTTGTGATGCCTGTAGTGGTGCGGTTGTCCCAAGTGTGGCTGGGTGGAGGAATGAGTTCCATAATGAAGCTCAGGAGCAGATGCTGAGTTTAGGCGTGGATAAGTTGAGGTAGCCTGAGCAGAATCGGACACTTGCTGCATTGATGACGCAATTGTTATTTCGGGAAATGAAGCAACACTAACCAAGTAATACTTAGTAAATTAAATTAAAATATAAATAACAATATTACCATTTAATTATGCCATCAAGAAATATTGTATGTAAAAAAATCAACAAATAAAATTTTTGTTGATTCATGTCTTGGTTTTTGCAGTATATTTTACTGACAAAAAACGTTTATTTAAAGTTCACATGTTGGTTAACGTCGAATGTGAGGAAGTTTAATCTGTAATTAATAATCAAATTTTGCGTAAAGTTTTTGTTTTAGACGGTACAATAAAGCTGTGAAAATATTAGTTGAGCATTTTATTAATTGATAAATTATGCTAATTAGCTTTAGAACATAAAAACTAAAATAAATTAAATAGATTTATGTATTTAATTAAATGCATAAACCGTCGTAAATGGTTTTGACATATTTTCAAATATTTAAACACATTTTGTTTTTGCATTAAATTTTATACAAAAATTTGATAAACAAGTACTTGTTGAATAATTAATTTTTGTCTAACATTTTATTTTGCAGACAATTTTACAACAAAACATAATATTCAATTTAAAAATAAAGGTTGTCAAGTTGCTATTAACGTAAAAAACATTTACAGTTATAAAAAATTTGAAAATTAACTGGTAAACATTATTAATTACAAATCTAAATTTTAAAAACTTTTTAAATAGCTACAAAATGCCACAAAAAATTGTTTCTGTTAAAAATTTTTTAAAAGTTAATAGTTTGTACTTTAAACACCTTTTTATTGTAAATTTAAATATAATTTTAATAAAAAATCAATTTAAATAAACACCACATATTTTAAAATATATAACTAAATTGAATTTAAAAAATTGAAATTATTGTTTGAGTACAATAACAATTGCAGTTATTTTTTATTTGGTTTAACTTGAACTTGTTTTGTGTTAAAAATATTTAAATTTAAAGTTTGTTTAAATTTATAATCGATAATTTTAATTTTAA